GATGCACTTATCTGAAGCACACATTTTCAGTTCTCCCTGCATAGGTATGTGTACAGTTTTAATTTCTTTTTCTTGTCTTCAGGTTTAGAGTAACTCAATTCTTCAGTCTGCTAAATTTACCAAGAGGGTTTCAGTTTCTTTTTCAGTAGCCAGAATGTTTTTCAAAGTTTTATTCCGAATGTTGTTTCTTCTCTGGAGAGACTCTTAGACTTTGAAACCTATTCTCATATGGAAAGCCTTGCCTGTCTGGAAATCTGTTCCAGCTTGCTTTGCTGTTCAAAGTGCTGCTTCGTGGAATCACTTTACGTCTCCTCAGAGATGTTTTGTCAGAATTTTGCTTATCTACTATTATTGCAAAACAGTCCCCCATCTTAGGCAACCAATCACTTCCTCAACCCCTTCTCATAGGTCTTTAAAGCAAAATGGAAATGAAAATGTGCCTGCTGTTACGTAGGCTGTGGTGATCTGGCTTTCACCTTTGGACCGTGGGCAGTGTTAGCTGGGATTGCATAAAAACCCTGCAGGAAGAGGAAAGGTGCTCTGAACTGTGCACAGCAAGGGGTTAACACACATCTGGGGCAGAGGGGGGGAAACCAGGATGGCTGGACTATGCCCCTTTGCTAAGTGGCTGCTTTTTCTGAAGTGCGTGGAAGACAGATGAGAAACCTCAGAGTTGCCTCGGATTATTTTCCTGAGCATACAGCTTTCTCTCTTTGTGGTTAAATATGACAGTTATAGTGTAGTATTTATGCACAGTCAATAAATCAGCAGAAAACGTGCTGCAGTCAGGGGGTGTATCTGTAGTCTGTTCCTTATACTTTAGCTGAAAATGGTATTCCTGAATTTGCTGAAGCCTATGCAAAGAAATTCAGGTGCAAATCTCCACAGGAGACCTAAAGTCTGATGGCCCACAGTAATGCAGGGTTTGCTCCTCAGCTTCCATTACTGTCCTTCAAACAGCAAACTCAGACTCCTGAAAGGCAGTGGAGAGGCAAGTTTTGGATCAGGTTCCCAATCTCTTGAGCGGAATAGTTTCAGAAAGGAGATGGAGTGAGTGAAAGGGGCAGAAATCTTCAAGGGTGAGTCATAATTTCGTGGAAGTTTGTAATGTTGTCATAAAAGAGGGAAAAAAAAAAAAGAGGGTGCTGCTGAGCAATATCCTGGAAAATACTGGCTTGGGGGTTTTGTTTGTTTGTTGGGTTGGGGTTTTTTTCTGTTTTGTTTTTCCAGAAGGGGCTGTGTGACACACTGGCAGAAGCAGCCTGGCCTTTTCTAGTGTCTGGCTTAAGAGCAGCTAACTGCTGATGGGTGAGAATATTTAGCCCTGACACAGCACACCATATCAAAGGACTTGAATTTGCTCAGCTTCTGCCATCTTGAATATAACTGTGAAGGAGTTGTTATTTAGTACAATTTCTTACCTTTCATACTAGAGTCCAGCTGCACACAAATTCTTTAAGTAAACGGGCAATTTCACTTTTCTGAAAGGGACAGCATAGATCTGTGGCTGGCTAAGAACTAAAGCCTTCTGAATTCCCACTGTGGCACTGAAAATTGCACCTTGTGTAGTGCCAAACAAGTCCCTTAGCTTTGGCAGCAGCCCCTTTTTTGTGTTACAGGGATCATACCTCCCCAGCTCACAGCACGGATTAATCCATATTTTTGTAGCGATTTAGCAGTGATCATTTCTGCTCTGGCTTGAAGCCTTTTAACTTAAGCAGGTAAGTCATCAGGGCAGCTGTATTACACGACCAAGATAGGGAGCCACAGCATCTGAGGGAGGTTTGAAGGGTTTAGCTGTTGATCCAGATTTTAAGTAGATAATTTCTGACTAACATATCAAGTGTGCCCCAAATTCAGGTGGCTGTTCAGTGCCAAAGCTGAGCATCTTCAGTGCCTAAAGCAGCATGGCCACTGTCTCACAGGTGTATTACTTGTTCAGGGCAGAAAGCAGCTAGGTGAGAAAAAGGAACAAATGAAGCAATATAAAAGTGTTAAGAAATGAAGGCTGTTAGAGCTAAAATCCTGTTAGAGGCAACAGCTTAGATGTTAAACTGTGTTATGACAAGGAACAGAAAAATAATATTTTATCAGCACAACAGGGAAAAATACCACGGATCCAGCCAAAAATTGACTGGAATTATTACCCCAGAATTATGTTCCTTTTTACTGTGGGATAGAATATCCACACAGCAACTATTTCAAAATATTTAATTATAGGAGAGCTTAATCTGCTGTAGCTGTTGGGATTAATTTCCCCATAGAGACAATTTCTGTAACTATTGCAGTTGAAGAAATGTAGATGAGTGTAATTGCAATTAAAACCCAAGAAAAGTTTAAACTTTATAGAGGTGACAAATGCCTGCCACCACATCTGCCAGGTAGTCAGCACTGCAAACACAAACTCTATGAAGAAGCAATAAAGAGCCACTCTAACTGCGTTCATGCACGTTAGCAACCATGGTATCTGTTATTTTCAGGAACAAAAAGTGTCTCATTGAACTAAATATATGTCTTGCATTGTGCCCAGAAGATTGCTAGATTTCAGCTCTTGTGGTGTCCAGCAGGAGCAGGATCCAAAAGCCAAAATCCTCAACAGAGAAAGAGGGACAGTATGTGAACCTTGCCTGCTGCTGCCCTTGGAAAGGTCAACTTCTGAAACAGGAAACAAGAGTTTCATCTTGACCTTTAAATACTGTGTTTGGATGGGAAAGAAGTGGCTTTTAGATATCTGGCAGTCTGGAATGAAAAAAAAAAAGAAACTGGTGATGGTAAGAACTTGTAATAGTTTAGCATTTCATACAGCCTGACTCGAGGAGGCTGCAGGACACGGGGCCTCTGGGTTGCCAGCTGGAATTGGCTGAGGTCAGCTGGAGGCAGAAGGGAGTCTCTGATCTCATCAGGTTGACGTGAGAGCAATGCATAGGTGGCCTCATTGAGTTCCCAGTGCGGGACCTGGCGGTGGTAGCTGGCATCTTCTACCAATAGTTCAGTTTCCATTCAGGCCTTTGCAAATCCATTCCTATCCAGGAGTTATCTTTCCAGAGTAACATGGAGCGGTACAAAAATACAGTATCTGCATTTTTATCTTATCTATAGAGATTCAAATCGCATTTGTTTCAGTCTGGCTCCATTCATGTGCACTAATCACTTGCTTAAAAATATTTATCTGTTTATCCCTCCTGGCATTTCTGCTATGATTGTTAAAATTCAGAAACCTTGATCACCACTGCACTCGCACATATGCAGCTTATGGAGAGGGGCTGGATAACGGAATGGAGTCTCCAAGTTTGGCAGGATTTACTTTCAAAATGAGCTGCTTTTCAGCTATTACTTTATCCACTTTTGGTTCAATTGAATTAAATAATATGATTATGTTTTTATGAAAAATATTTGCAGAATGTTTTTGAAAAGACAAACTTCTTTCTAAAGCCAATATAGAGACTTTACTGTCCTGTATTCAGGTGTTGGGCTTTTTTTGGTGACAAAATGGATGAATTAAATGAGTTTAGATCTCTGATTATTTTGATCAAGATGCATAATGGTATGTTTACAAACATTCATATTTCGTAATGGGGATGTTAGAATTCACCTGTGGTGTTGTGAAACAACAGTACTGTCCAGTGCTTCACAAACCAGAGTGAGAACCGACACTGCCCCTGCCCACTGTTCAAATGAACGGCAAAAAAATACCCAGAAAAAGATAGGTTGGAAGGTATTATCAGTTTCTTTATTATTTTAAAGTAAGATTCATGTTGACAGTGCTGCTTTTGTGTGTTTTGGATTCGCTCCTGGAAGCAAACAAGCACTCACGAGCAGACATAGTGCTAAATATTTCCTGAGTTTCCTTCCCCTTATCCAGTTACCGTTGCTGGTGCTGTCGGGGCCATCCAGTGCCACCCGCTCGAGGGCTGGGGCTGCCATTTGCTTCCTCAGAGCAGGAGACCTTGAGGAGGAGGCTCGGGGGGGACTTTATCCCTCCCTACAACTCCCTGACAGGGGGTTGTAGCCAGGTGGGAGTCGGGCTTTTGTCCCAAGTAACCAGTGATAGGATAAGGGGACATAGTCTTAACCTGTGCCAGGGGAGGTTTAGGTTGGACATTAGAAAGAATTTCTTCACAGAGAGGATGATTTGACATTGGGATGGGCTGCCCAGGGAAGTGGTGGAGACGCCGTCCCTGGAGGTGCTTAAGGAAAGACTGGACATGGTGCTTGATGCCATGATCTAGTTCACATGGTGGTGTTGGGCCACAGGTTGGACTTGACGATCTCAGAGGTCTTTTCCAATCTGATTCTGTCATCCCTTATTTCAGACAGACTTTTTTAAAATTATTTTTCACCCGAGTGTTTGGAAATAACGCAGGGTTTATGCATCCTCAGTTTTGCCACAATTAATTTGTTGCCATCCTGTCTCGATCCCGGTACACTGAGGTGCCCTGCCCCTGTGTGACACCCAGTTCCGAGCTGTGACAAGAGAAGGCAGTTACCTGACTACGAAAGCACCGCACGTGGAGGGCTGAGGATTTAGTGCTTTAAGTGAAACCTGTGTAGACCAGGAACGGGGGAGGCGATTATGTCACCGGGCGTGCAGCTGAGCTGCTTCGCTCGGCTTCCCGGGGGCCAGCGCGCGTCTCCCGTCTGCTCCCCTCAGCCCCGCGGGGCTCCCCCAGCCCCCGAGGGCTGCGCGGGGCGGTGCGAGGCGGCGGTGGGGAGGTGACCCCGCCGCGGTTACCGGCGGGGTAACGGGGGGCACGTGGGGCCCGCCCGTGAGGGGCCACGCGGCCCCTGTGGCGCGGGGCGGGGGACCCCGCAGAGGGGCGGTGTGTGCGCGTGTGTGACAGGTGCGGCGCGCGCGCGCCCGCCCTCCCCCCTCGCTCCCCCCTCGCTCCCCCCTCCCTCCCCGTCCCTCGCGCGAGCGCGCGCGCCGCCATGAATATGCAAATACGGGTATAATTGCCAGCCAATGGCGTGCGCGCTGGTCACATGGTGCTGGTGGAGGCTCAGGGAAGAGAAGTTGAGTCCGGGCGAGCTCGGGCAGCGCCGCCAGAGCCGAGCGAGCGGCGGGCGAGCGCCGCGCCTCCTCCGCAGGGAGCCCGCCGGCCGGGGCTCTGCCTGGACCATGCCGATCCTCCTCTTCCTCATAGACACGTCCGCCTCCATGAACCAGCGGGCGTACCTGGGCACCAGCTACCTGGACATCGCCAAGGGCGCCGTGGAGATCTTCATGAAGGTGAGTGTGCGGCGCCGCCCCGGGGGGAGCCGCCGCCCCGCTCGCTCCCCCCCCCTTCCCCGCACCTTCGCCGCGCTCACGGCCGCTTCTCTCCGCTCTCTCCGCAGCTGCGGGCCCGCGACCCGGCCAGCCGCGGCGACAGGTACATGCTGGTTACCTTCGACGAGCCGCCCTACTGCATCAAGGTAATGACCCCCCCCGGCCGCCCCGCTCCCGCCGCAGGGGCCGCCCTTGGCGCGGCGCGGCCCCGTCCGGCCCGGCGGCGGCAGCAGCAGCCTGTGAAGATGGCGGACATTTTGCTTTTGTATGGAGGAGAGAGGCTGAGGGCGCTGCTGAGATGGAGGAGGGGGGGGGGAGGAGACGGGCGGGCCGTGATTCACCGCCCCGGCGCAGCGAGGGGCGGCCGCGCTCCGCCCCCCGCGGGGCGGTGGCTCCGGCGGGGCCGCGCCGGGATCCGGCCCCGCTCGGCCCCGACCCCCCCGGGACACGCGGGCGGGGGGCGGTGGGTGCGGTGGGTACTGCCCGATCCCGAAGGGCAGCGCTGGGGCAGCGGTCCCCTCACGGCTGCGGGTCCCCGACGGGCAGTGGGACGGAGCGCCCGCGCCTGTTCTCCGCCTCTGCGAGGCAAGAAGAAGCCCCGGTGTTGGGATCTCGTGTCCCCTCCATTCCTCCTGCTGAGCACGGTGACCCGCACCGGTACTGTGTAAGGTGCTCGTAATCGCCGCTCCGTGCAGGGCTGTGGTGAGCTGGACGTGGAGACAAAATCGTCAAGGTTGGAAGAGACCTTAAGACCATCCAGTCCGACCGTCAGCCCGGCCCTGCCACTGTAACCCCCAGCCCACCCAACCGCATCACCCAGCGCCAGATCCAGACGCCTCTTGAACACCTCCAGGGATGGTGACTCCACCGCCTCCCTGGGCAGCCTATTACAATGCCTGACTGCCCAAACAGTGACAAAATTGTTTTTTCTGGT